ATATTGATAATTATAGAGCCGTTTATTGATAATTTTGATTTAAACATTTTTAAAGAGATTGTTTTTTCTTGGAGATGAAAAAAAAATTAGTCCAGTTTTTTTGGTGTTGAGACATATTAGGTTAGCATTTAACCAGTGAACTATACCTTTTAGATCCTAATTAACATTTTTACATAAAGAATAATACGATTTGTTAATGTGTTAAATGATTCAGAGATTAAAGTAGAGTCAGTTATATATGTATCATTTTCTTGTAAACAGTTAGGAGATGATTTATTCAAATTTTTTACATTAATTAGAGTGTTAATACCTTTCTAAAGTTCGCGAAGATTTTTTACATTTTCAGAGAAACGTTTTTTTTAATGTTTTTTTTTACTAAGTTTAATTAATGTAACTATTACATATTTATATCTTTTAAAAAACCTTTCAAATTATTTTTTATTAATAAGATCTTTAGATCTTAACTTTTTTTTTGGAAAATATTGCGCACTTGAATAGATTTTATGATTCCTTTTGTAATCCATGGCTTGAATCAACGTTTAAAGTTTTTTATACTGATTTTTTTAAGTGAGGGAAACGATCTAAAATCAATGCTGTTTCAGTAATAAACGTTTGGAAACATGCGTTAGTATCGGTGGACTTTGTAATATCGTCCCAGTCAATTTTTGATAAATCACATTTAAAGTTTTCTTTATTAAAGTTTTTAAAACTCCTGCTAATTAAATTGTGTCTGCGTGGTATAAATAATTTATTGAAATTGGGACAAATACAAAATTGAGGTCAGTGATCAGAAACAGAAGTTGTCAAATTTCCTGAAACAATTTCATTAGCTGTTAAACTAGAGAAACTATAATCAATAATTCAGGTTTTGCGATAAAGCGTCTGGCGATGTGAATTTTACGTCGTCCAAGAGCGATTTTGCGTGTAGCTAGGGCTATTTGCGTCAAGCAAAATATTTTTTGTTTGAGTATATTTAAAGATATTTTTGAGCAGAATTTTAATGAATTAATTTTTGATTATTTTAACATTTAATAAAGTATTTTAAAAACCGCACGCAGTTGATATAAAAGTTTGAACTACAAAAAAATTAAATATGCTCATTATTTACAAGTAGAAAAAATTCAGATTTAAAAGAAGTTTAAATATTTTTAAGCTAACATTTTAATAAAAATATTCAGCAATAGCAAAGTTGTCGATAAAATTGAACAAAAATACTTTCTTTTAGTTTTAGATTTTTCACTTTTTGAAATAATTATTTAACGGGGGTTTGTTAGGTTTTATATTATTCCATAGATTTAAAAATATTTATTAACTGCTAGACGTATTTAAAGTCACTAATCTCAAAATAATAACTGGATAGCGCATTTGAGAAAATTTTTGAAGCCAGTTTTGGCCTACCAAGATGGCGGCGTAGTTTGCCAAGGCTATAGAAGTACCGTTTAAAAAATCAAAAAACCTTAAGCATAATCGATAAAGATATAATTTTAAACACAAGCAAGTTTTTTTTTTTTTTTTTTAATATTTATAATATTTATATATATATATATATACATATACATATATATATATATATATATACATATATATATATATATATATATATATATATATATATATATATATATATATATATATATATATATATATATATATGTATATATATATATATATATATATATATATATATATATATATATATATATATATATATATATATATATATATTTCGAACATCGCATTAGCAATAAATTTGTAAAAGTTTTATTAAAAATCACAATATTTTTTATTCTTGACATGTTTCGTAGTCTTACTACATTTTCAAAAGATTTAATTTACAATTAAAACTCTGGTAAATAAATTTAAAAACTGAAGACAATTCAGAGAAAAAATTAACGGACAAATAAACTTGTTACAAACCAATTAAAAATTATATTACAAATTATGACAAAATGAACTTCCTAACATTAAAATATTAATAATAAAAATAATAATAATAGTAATAATAATAATAATAATAATAATAATAATATTAATATAGTAAGTTAGATAGATAAATTTATAATATAATAAGATGTTTATTTATTTAAAGAAGGATTTTCCCATTTAATATGAAGTGCTTCTTTTATTTTTAATTTGTTAATGGTAGAGGCAGTATCCAAAATCTGAAAGCAATCATAATTAGTTAGTGTTTTACAATTAATGGATGAATTTAAATGTTTAAAAATATGCGATTGCTTGTCACTCGTAAGATGCTCATTTATCCTTGTTGTCAAATGTCTGGAGGTTTTTCCAATATAACTGGCGTTACAGCCAGCACAAGAAAAAGACAACGTTAGGTTTAAGTATCTTAGGAAGTGGATCTTTTATGCAAAAACTGTTTTTTAGTTTATCGGTTGTGAATATAAATTTGATTATTACATTTTTACAATACTTTTTAATAATTTTATCAATTTTAGTTTTAGTGAAATTTGAGTAAAATCCAATAAATGGAGGCTTTATTTCATCTAATTCTTTTTGCAATAATTTTTGTTCGTTTGATCTTTTAAATTAAATTATATGTTAAAAAGAAAATTAATCCACCTGTTATAAATACTGTTGATAATACTAATATAAGATATTTTAAGCTTCCATTTATTGGATTTTACTCAAATTTCACTAAAACTAAAATTGATAAAATTATTAAAAAGTATTGTAAAAATGTAATAAACAAATTTATATTCACAACCGATAAATTAAAAAACAGTTTTTGCATAAAAGATCCACTTCCTAAAATGCTTAAATCTAACGTTGTCTACAAATTTTCTTGTGCTGTCTGTAACGCCAGTTATATTGGAGAAACCTGCATTGCTTTCAGATTTTGGATACTGCCTCTACCAATAACAAATTGAAAATAAAAGAAGCACTTCATATTAAATGGGAAAATTCTTCTTTAAATAAACAAACATCTCATTATATTATAAATTTATCTATCTAACTTACTAGATGACTAATATTATTATTATTATTATTATTATTATTATTTTAATATTAGGAAGTTCACTTTGCCATAATTTGTAATATAATTTTTAATTGGTTTGTAACAAGTTTATTTGTCCGTTAAGTTTTTTTCTGAATTGTCTTCAGTTTTTAAATTTATTTACCAGAGTTTTAATTGTAAATTAAATCTTTTGAAAATGTAGTAAGACTACGAAACATGTCCAGAATAAAAAATATTGTGATTTTTATGAAAACTTTTACAAATTTATTGCTAATGCGATGTTCGAAATATATATATATATATATATATATATATATATATATATATATATATATATATATATATATATATATATATATATATATATATATATATATATATATATATATATATATATATATATATATATATATATATATATGTATATATATATATATATATATATATATATATAGATATATAAATATATATATATATATATATATATATATATATATATATATATATATATATATATATATATATATATATATATATATATATATATTATAAATATATAAATATATATATATATATATATATATATATATATATATATAAGATATATATATATATATAATATATATATATATATATATATATATATATATATATATATATATACTTTTACAAATTTATTGCTAATGCGATGTTCGAAATATATATATATATATAGATATAGATATATAAATATATATATATATATATATATATATATATATATATATATATATATATATATATATATATGTATATATATATATGACTAGATCGCCTTAAAGTCGCCAAATCGTGTAAAAAATTTCCACGGAAAGTCGACTTGAGTGGAAAGTCGACAAAATTGAGTCGACCTAACGTTTTTCATCTTAGTTTCATCAAATTCAGTCTTACCTATTAGTTTTTTTTTTCTATTTCAATGAAATATAGTAGTTTTTGATTAAAAATACAAATTTGTTTTTTTTTAACTGCCGTCGATAAGTATTTTTTTAAATATCTCATTTTAAGCTTATATATGTAAACAAATTCAAAATATCGACGTAAGGTCGACGGCACTTAATATCTTGAAAATTATGAAGTATAACTGTATATATCATGCTGTTATGGAGTTAAAAATGTTTTCTCTGTCACTCAGTTAAAGTTTTGAGAGTTTATTAACGGATATCATTGCAAATACAACATATATATGAAATATAGGAGATATACAGTTTTATTTTAAGTCATTTCCATTTTTTTCGTATTTCAAACGAATTTCCTTACCATGCGGAGTCGCTTTTCCCGGAAACTTGTTTTTTTTTATGAATGTTTTTGTTTTGATTTCTTTATTTTGAAAATTTTGTATGTTTATATTGTTTGTTTATATTGTAGCTGAACCTTTTTATTTTTTTGCACTAACTTTAAGAATCTTATTTTAAAACTTTTTTCTATTTTTCGAAATATTTAATATAGACATTTATTTATATCTATAATGTACTAGTAAATATATATTTATAAGTATATCATAGATATATAATAAATATATATATAACTGTATAATTTATATACTTTTATAGATATACACAATATAAAATTTATACAGCCTTATTATTATATAGCCATGTTATATAGACATTTATTTATATCTATAATGTACTAATAAATATATATTTATAAGTATATCATAGATATATAATAAATATATATATAACTGTATAATTTATATACTTATATAGATATACACAATATAAAATTTATATGTAAAATATTAACTAAATTATTGTTAACTCGTTATAGCTGCTTCTTTTGATGACTTTAATACCTCTTGTAAGAGTTGACAAGTGGGTTTTTTCTGTTTCATTTATTATACGCAGGTAAAATATTATCAGCATAACTGTGATATAACTGTGATATAACATGATATAACTGTATAATTTGTTGTCAGCAATTTCTAAACATTTAAGTTTTTTAATTCATAAAATTTTCAAGTTTTACAAAACTTTTTTTATTATATCCTTGGAAAAAAAAAATTTATTAAATATAATAACAACTTCAATATTTGTTAAAATAATTATTCATTTAATTTTATTAGTTATTCAATTTAAAACAATTAATAATAATTCAGAAATAAGAATGTTTACATCATCGCCAGTTCATTCGTCAGACTCTGACTATTGGAAAAAGTTAGTTGTCTTTGATTCAGGTAATCTTATTTCAAAGTCTCAAAATATCTAAAACAATTTTTTTGAAATAATGAGTTGATATTTTTTCCAACATGATTATTTTTCATTTTGTATAATTTGAGTAAAATGTGTATATGTAGATGAAGATCAGTGCAGTAATGAGAGTGAAGTTTTTCTTCCATTATCCCTTGGTCCATTAAACCAGGTTTTTAGAAAGTTTTTAGCTTAAAAGTATTGTGAATTTTAGATTAAGATTAAATGACTTTGTGTAAAGCTTTTTAACATAGTACTTTCTTAATTAAATATTTCATATATCATATTTAGAAATCTATTATTAACGATTCTGGTTTAATGTGCGATGAAGACCTTGAAATTTTTGAAAGTGGAGAAGAGACAGATGACTGTAGCAAAAATCATGAAATTGATTTTGTTGTAATAATGTTTTTTTAAGTTTGTTATTATAAGTCACAGTTTATTTTCAATAAATTTTTTATTAAAATTTTTTAAGTTAAATTAAAAGATCTGCTTTAGAATAAGTTATAATTTTGATATAATTTTGTACAATAAAAGTTTAAAAAAGCAATTTTAAGTGTGAAAAATGGTATGCGAGACTCAGCAGCTGTAGAATTGCTTACAAAACTAAAGGTGTACCAGATATTTTTGACGGATATGCCTAAAATTAAAGTTTTTAAAAGTTATTTATGTGTTTATAAAGAAAAAACAAGTCTTGCCAGTCTACAATAAATAGTATTCAAGATCTTACTTGAAAAAATCAAGAATAAAACTGTTTGACATGGGGTATGTACTAAAGAAGTATAGAAAATAAAAAATAATAAAAAAAACAAAAATTTGTCTGTAAAATTGATTAATCCTTATACATTATCAACACATATACCTGTGTTATATCAGGTTTTTTTTGATTTTATCATTTTAAATCTTAAACACTTTTTAATGTAAAATGGCAAGTTTTTTTTTTCAAGTAAAGCAAACTTTTCAAGTTAGATTAAAAAAAAATAAACTTTAATTAAAAAAATTATTATTGAATAGTATCTATGTTAATAGTTATCTATGTTTTTCACTGTTATTTGTTATTTTTTTTTAAGTCTCATGCTTTGGTAAAAGATACAAATAAAGTATTATATGAAGATTTGTTAACTACAGAACCTTCTAAGTCAAACAACAGCTCATCTGATGAAAAGGTTGAGTTTTTTAAAATTTGGTTGTAAATTCAAAAGAAATGTATATACATCCTAAATTTGGATGTTTTAAAGTAATAATAAATATATTTTTAGTAGTGTTTACTATCAAGTTATTTATTAATAATCAATTTTATTTGTTTTGTTTTTTGTTAGTCTTATTTTATTGCAGTTAGTGGAAATTTTCGTTTGATTTTAAGTTTTGTTGTTAATTTTTTTTTCATATACTATTTAATAATAGTTATTATTTATTATTTAATGTTATTATGTTTAGTTAATTCATTTGTTTTAAGGTTAGACAACTAAACAATTCACATGTGAGAACAAAAAACGAAATCAATAAACTATCTAAAAAAAGTAATCCAAAACCAAAGCGACCTTGTTTTATATGTGGTGTGCATCAATCAGCACTTTCAAGACATTTTCTAACACATAAAAGTGATCCTAGAATATGTGAGGCTTTTAAATTGTCTAAAATAGAGCGTCGTAAAGCATTTGATTCTTTTAAAAAACAAGGGATTCATCAGTTTAACCTAAATGAAGTCCAAAACAGTAATCCAAAGTTTCTAAGAGAAAGAGCACAACGTTCCAAAAAAAATATGCAATCTGAAAAATTCTTAAATTCAAACAACTTGCTAATGTGCTTAAAATGCAAAGGTTTCTTTGCAAAGAGTTATAAAACCAGACATCAGATAAAATGCGGTGAAGATTCTTGTCAAGCCTTAATACCATCTATTGCAATTGGGGAAATAGATAAATATAATATTTAGACAATGATTTCAAGTTAAATATTTTAAATGTCATAAACAACGATGAAATTGGCACGCTAGCTAAAAGTGATAGCATTATTTTGCTGATAGGATCTCGCTTGTATGGTAAAATTAAAAGAAGGTTTGATAAAAAGTTGGAGGTTGAGAAATCGGTTAGGTGCTCAATGCGCCGGCTTGCCAACATTTATAATAGATTTACAATTGAAAAAACAGAATATCCTGCTAAAATGTTAGCAATTGAGCAAGGTAATTCTGGTGATATGTTTTTGAGAGGAAATATTGACTATTTAAAAAAAGCCATTGAAAATTATACCGATAAAGGTGAAGATAAGATAAAATCTGGTTTAAAAAGTGGCATCTATTATTTACTTAAGGACTCAGCTGAGAAATGTATGGGATATTACTTAAAGACAAATCGTGATGATTTGTCTAAAGAAGTTTCAAATTTTTTGTACATATTTGGGCTTATGAAAGATGAAATTTTTTCAGACGCTGTTTATGATTTAAATAAACGTAGAAACGAAAAACATAAAAAACCTGCACAGCTTCCAATGGAAGAAGATATTCAAACTATAAGAAATCATATTGTTACTACTATGGAAAAACTGACTAGCGAATATGAAATAATAGATAGACCTTCCTCTATTCAATTAAGAGACTGTGCTTGTGCTCGATTAACTATTTTTAATGGCAGGCGTGGTGGTGAACCTGCAAGACTAACAATTAAAGAATGGGAAAATGCTTTGAATAATGTATGGCTAGACAAACAAAGAATAAAAAATACACTATCTGAAAGTCAATTAGAAGATGGGATGAAAATTACTTATCAGTCTGGGAAAGGGGTTAATCATTCAGTCCCTGTTTTAATTCCAACTGATACTATTGAAGCAATGAAGTTGTTAGGTTCTGCTGATATTAGAACTCAGGCTGGAGTTTCAGCAAATAACATTTACATTTTCCCAAGTACACAATCTTCACTTTATCACTGCTCTGGATGGCATAGTCTAAAAAATATAATCAAGCAACTTAACTTGATAGATGAATCAAAAGTTACTGGTACAAATAATCGCCATCGACTCTCTACACTAGTGGCTGGTTTAGGAGTTTCAGATGCCCAAATGAGTTTGGCATATGATCACTTTGGGCACAGTGAAACAATTAACAAGACAATATATCAAGCTCCGGCAGCTCATTGACAGCTTCTCTCAACAGGAAAACATCTTGAAGCTATTGATCAAAATTCCTGTATGTATAAATATATTTTTAATTTGTTTGAATAATTTTTTTAAAAAAATGTCAACCCAAAGCAAAAGTTATTTTAATTTTATATTTATAAATCTTTTTTTTTTTTAGTAAAGCAAGATTTAAAAAAAACAATAAATATTGATAAAAAAGAACAGAAAAATCGACTTGTAGAAAAACAAGAGAAGCCAATAAAACTAGCTAAAGTTTTTTTAACTAGATCTAAGGCAAAACTTGAGGCTAGTGTTGGAAGTAGCACTCCAATCAGTTTGAATAAACAAGGTATGAATCTTATTTAAATTTTTAGTTATCTAGTATATTTTTTATTTATTGTAAATAATGTTTTATTTGTATTTTAAATGATTCCTTTATACTGAATATTTTTATTTAGTAATAATAATTTTTTACTATTACTCTGTACTCTAGTTCCAGAAATTGCAAATGAAAGTCTTGAAAATCATTCTTCTACTGAATATGAAAGCAATTCAAGCGAATCGGAGTTTGAATTTAAAACTAATGTTAACCAAATTAATAAAACTAAAAAAAGTTTTGTCTCAGGTATAACTTTTATTGCACAAGTCAAAGTTTTGTAATTTATATCTGTATTACTTATTTTAAGTTATTTTTACTTATTTTAAAGACTTTAATTTTAATGGTCGCATTAAATTAAAAAAAAATGATTTATTTAAGATTACATTAAACTAAACATATCATTAAAAAAAAAATTCTGTAGCTGCTGAAGTGGAGGTGTTAAATGTGTTATTTCCCTGCCCCCACAATTTAAAAGTAGAAAAGAGAACCTAATAATGAAATGATTGTCCTTATTTATATCCTTGGATTAGCTCCCTTACTATAAATATCAACTGATATTTAAAGTGGGGAAGCCAAATTAGTTATTTTCATATTTTTTTGTTATTAACAGTTTTTTATTTTATTTTTTTATTTTAATTCACCTCCTCAAGGCTGAGAAGGCCACTACAAACGAGGAGGCTACTTATTTGTGGCTATAACTCTCTCTCCACTCTATAACTCCGAAACACGAACCTTGACGAACAAGGCCGCTGCGCAAAGAAACGAGTTGGTCGCGGTACTACCAGGGACGTGGTAAGGATCGTTATATAATTATACTTATTTGAGCACAGAAAGCAAGAAAATATTTAAAAACAAACAATTTCTTATTTTCTATATAATAATTAGACAACTTTCGATTATTCAAGTTTTAATAAATGTGTTTTAAACTTTCATTTTATTGTATCGAGTTTACGTTCAGACATAAGCCCAAATAAAAGGGTAAAATTTGGGGCATTTGAGGCAATTAGATATATGTGCAATCTTTTAGGTTTCGTGGGTGGCTGTAAAAGTTATATAATATATATTTAGGTCGTAAATATAACCAATGGGATAACGAAAATGAGAGTGCGTTTTTTCAAAGGTTTATGCAGTATGTTAGTTCAAATATAGGATATCCAAGTAAGTGTATATTAGACAAGATTTTTATTTAAGATTTTCATCAACTTATCTTTTTAATTATCATTTTTAGCAACTAAGGTTGAAATAAGAAAAAACATATGTTAAAAAATTTAATAAACATTTTTTGATATTTATTACTTTTTGCAAGGTTTATATTTTGTAATATTACAAAATGATTCTTATTTTACTTTTGATTTAAGTAGAAATGTTTGTAATCTTTATTTTCAAATATAGTACATATTTTATCTATTATAGGTCGACAAGAAATGACTGAATTTGGAATAAAATACGGGTTTGGCTACGGTACAGTTAGAAATAAAATCACTAACGAAAGAGCAAAAAAGATGCGAATCGTCTCCCAAAGAATAAACGATATTCAAATGTAATTGAATAGAATTTAAAACAAAAATCAGACTTAAAAACATTTTTAAATATAAAAAAGATAATTCTAAAGCCACGGTGATACTTGTGTTACAAAAACAGGCATTTTTTCTTTATACCGGCCCTTGTATTTATAAGAATTGTAATCCAGAATAACCACTTTTTTTTATTGTCGACTTTAGGAAGATATAATAAAAAAAAAGGGTAAAGTCGACTTACAACAAAAAAAATTTGCTCGAAAACGTTAAGTCGACTTAATATTGAAAATCAAATTAAAGTTATGAAATATAAAATTGCCAAGAGAAAAAGAAGCCATTCCTTTGATTTTCGACAAAAAAAAAATTAAAATTGACAATGTTAGACTGATTTTTGCAGTGTCGACTTTCCGCGGGTATTTTATTGCTGTCGACTCTAAGATCATCTAGTGGTATATATATATATATATATATATATATATATATATATATATATATATATATATATATATATATATATATATATATATATATATATATATATATATACCTCATTTAAAAATATATATACCTCATATATATATACCTCAATATATATATACCTCATTTAAAAAGTGTTTACTAGCTGCATATTTTAATAATTAGGAATCAAATAAATTTATTTCGCCATCTTATTTTCCTTAAAATTAGTTGAATTTTCCTACCGCTAACAGTTCTAACCGACGCAATCTTGGTAGGCCAAAATTGGCTTCAATTTTTTTTACGAAAAACAATAGAATACGCTATCCAGTTATTATTTTGAGATCAGTGATTTAAAGTGTTTAAGAGAAATTTCGAGTAAACATTTTAAAAATTGGTAAGCGCAAATAAAAAAAATAAAAGAATTAATATTAAAACGTATTCTACTTGATTCAATAAAAACGTACAGCTATTAAAATTTTTGTAAAAAGTAACTCGAAAAAAATTATTTAATTAATAACAATCACTTTATGTTAAAAGTTACCGAAACTCAACGAAGCGTGCTCAAAAACAGCTGCTGAAAAATAGAACGTCAATAGTTTTTCGAATATTTTTTGATAATAATTTTGAAGAATAATTTTTTCGCTGAGATATGTCTTTTATACCTGTAAGATTCTAACATTTTATTTTATTTTACTAAAAATAAAACTCCTTATAAACATTAAAAATCTATTCGAAATGTCCGTTAAAGTTTTTTAGTAATACAAGTGATTGTGCTTATCAACCGCTTCATGAAAATAAATAAAAATAAATAAATAAAAAAATATTATATAAAATCGCTAGTAAATATATTAGCTTTCCTGCTTTTTCCTGCTGCATTAATTGTTGTTGCAAATGACTGGACTGTATATAAAATATTAAATGAAGTTAAACGCGCAAAACTTATTTAACAATAAAAAATTTATTTTCGCGAGTTTTAGAAAATTATGTAACATAGCTATATATATATTATTGTTCAAACCATGTTAACTTTTATACTAAAGAGAAAATAAACGATACAATATAATATTCATATCAGAGGCAAATAAAATTCTTTAGTGGTTATGAATAATACTTAAATTTTTTAAAATATTTTCAGTTTACACTAAAAGCCTACACTTAAACTGAAGATCCATTATATAAATATTTGAATCTCACAATTTTTGATTAGCACTGACAGCACTAAAAGTATAAATATTATAACATTACTATTCGATCAATATAAAAACTATCACAAACAAATAGATGTTATGTCTTAATATAAACAAACAGTAATAATTTCATTTAGTTATTTAAAGAGTAGTTACCACTTAAAATGCATAATTTTTCTCTAAAACTTTAGGAGCAAATTTATGCATTTTATGAGGTAACTATTTTTAAACGACGTTTGTTAAGCTACAAGCGTAATTTAGTAATTGCAGACATTTGATAACTGAATTACGCTCATAGCTTAATTAACTTAAAAACCCCGCAATTGTGGGGTTTTTACCACTGGATTTTAACGTTTAGAAAACATAACCGGAACGTCAGCAAGTGCAGATATAAAACACAATTTGCAGTATAAACCATGTTAAAGATACTTCACATTACAAAAATATTTAAAAAACATCTTGAAAACTGTTATTATGATTTTCTTTATCCCGTCCACCTCCGCCTTTTCTATCCGGCGCTCTTTTAAGCACATTTCCAACGCATTTTTCTATTTCCATTTCATTATACTTTGACATGGCCTCTGCAAAAAATAAATTTAAAATATAAGATTTATAATATATATTATAAATAGCTTAATCAGCCATGCATAATTAAACATTAACTAAAAAAGCCATTTTATTATTGATATGAGTAAACCATAATTTTTTGATTGCATCCCTGAAAAAAAAATTCCATCAATTTTAACTTAAAAATAAAAAAGTACAAAAATGATTTTTCATTTTATCAAACCTTTTCGGTTATTAAAACCCATCCTTGACTATTTATAATATATTATTAAAAAAATATGTACCAGCAATAACCTTCATCAGATTTGTCTTACAAAACGCATTCTTATTCCTCGTTCCATCCATATTAAAACTTGACATTAATTTGTTTGTCATGAGTCTAGGTAGTAAAACGAACTATTGATAAATATCTAGCATATATTAAAGTATGTAGTCAAAGAATATAGCTGGCAGAGAAGAATATATGATTTCTGTTTTATAATCATCTTCCGCCACCATTTTCAGACATCAGCAACTAAAAAAAATTCGGGCATCATCTTAACCATCATAAATCTTAACTCATATAATCTAGTGTTTTTTAATTCATTAATTTTATGTAAAGCAAAATGTTAAAAACAAAAGATTTAATTAAATAAATACTAAACACTTTTTCAAAGATACATACTTTAAAAGCTTTTACACACTTGCACATTAGTGCTCTTGGAGTTGTTAACTGACTGTTTCAGTCTTTGTAGAAACTTTTTAAACGGAAAACAATAGATACTGTTGAGTGAGCAGCAATGGTTCATACAATCATCGACTAAATAGAGTAGGCTATGCACATTATATACAGTAAAAGTTTCTCCATAAATATACTTGCATGAATAAACAAAATGTGTCATCATACTGCGTGCAAAATCCAAATGGTTATTACGAAATTCGTCATTTGACGTCAACATAATACCAATAGAAATGCTTAACAGGAGAAAATGCTCATATACTTGTTCAGATACAACTTCTTTTAGTACAACAGGGCCTAAATATATCAAAAACTGCCTAAACTCTGTAGCTTTCCAACGATCCAAATCTTGAAGACTTCGTGGTTGACGAGCAAATTCGCTTGGTATATTTTCATTTAAACAAATTAATCTATTAGAAATTTCAGTTATTTGTGATGCAGATATTTTTCCTACAGGACCTTTCAATAAATATTTTAGAATTCATTTTGTTACCCCTAAACAAACCAAATGCATATAATTAAAAACAAAAGAACTAACACACTCAATACCAATATTTACAAGTGGAGAAACTGCTTTTTGATGATCTAGATAGCCATAGTGTTGAAAAGTCTGATCATCCCTTTTATTAAAACCAAATTCATCATTGAAGACAACTCTTCATTTATGGGAACCATGCACACAATACCTTTCACAAGAGTTGTACCCAGTATGGTTAACAATGTTCTTTATATAAGCTCTAGCTGGAGCATCACAAACAAAAGCTTTAATTGCTAAACTAATATGAAATCCATTGAAATTAATCCCAGAGTCTTTAACTTCCATCCATTCATTCACAAAATCCAATAAAAAGTCTATCAAAAGATCAGGTTTGCTATTTCCACCAAAAATTCCAATAATAAAAACATCAGAGCCTTCAAATAAACCAAGAATAGGCCAGAGCTGAACAGTAGATGACCGGAAAAGAGGAAGACCATCAATATTTATAAGTAAATTAATCATTAAGTCACTTTTAATAGTCCAACATGATAGTATTCTTATAATTTCACTCTTAATTCTAAAATAAACATACTCACCACGACATTTTGATTGAGTTTTTATGGTTTTTGGAAAGCTAAGTAGTGTTTGAGCATCTTGAGGAAAATTTAATCCAGTTTCCCGAAGAATACTTAATAACTGAGTTATGGATTTTTGACTCCATTTATTTTAAGTGGCACAAGCAGCAAACTTTAAATTTCAACATGTTAGTAAAGCATGCTTATTATATTCATATGATAAGATATTTCTGAATCACTCTTACAGTCAACATAATTTTCTAAATCACTGATTGAATCTAGATCAGTTAGGTCCAAATCAGTTTGATATTCTGGAGATATTTGTGGATTGGTATGAGACAATTCTTGTAAATTCTCTATAGCACATGATTCTTCGTCACTTGACTCTATCAATTGCATCACTTTCTTATTTATATGAAACCACTTAATTAATCTTGAACCAATTATTTAGGTTTTTGATTCTAAAAGTTTTAAATATGAGTATTAACAAACAAAAGTATAAAGAAAAATTACATTAACTTTTATTTTATATATTAAATATTAATATATAAAAACATACATATATATATATATATATATATATATATATATATATATATATATATATATATATATATATATATATACATATATATTATATATATATATATATTTATATTTATATATATATATATATATATATATATATATATATATATATATATATTTATATTTATATATATATATATATGCATATATGTTATATATATATATATTATATATATACATACATACATAAATACATACATACATATATATGTATATATATATATATATATATATATATATATATATATATATATATATATATTTATATATATACATATATATATATATATATATATATATATATATATATATATATATATATATTATATATATATATATATAAATGTATATATATATGTATATAGATATACATTTATATATATATACATATATATGTATATATATATATATACATTTATATATATATATATATGTTTATATATATACTTATATATAATATACTATATATATATATATATATATATATTTATATATATATATATTAAATGTATATATATATGTATATAGATATACATTTATATATATATACATATATATGTATATATATATATACATTTTATATATATATATATATATATATATATCTATATATATATATAATATATATATATATATATATATATATATATATATATATATATATATATGTTTATATATATACATATATACATATATATATATTCATATATATATATATATATATATATATATATATATATATATATATATATATATATATATATATATATATATATATATATATATACATATATATAAACAACATTTTCCTTAAAATATAAGGAAAATTTTGTTAAATTGCCCTGTCTTTCAAAAACATTGAGCCTTCTATATGTGATTGTGTTTATATATATATATATATATATATATATATATATATATATATATATATATATATATATATATATATATATATATATATAGATAGATAGATAGATAGATAGATAGATAGATAGATAGATAGATAGACATATAGATAGATAGATGTAATATGATATAAGTTTTATCATCAATATATTTATATAAAATTTAATATATATATAAAAAAAAAAAAATTTATTAAAAATAAAAAACTAACGTAAAAAAAAGTTGTAAATAATAACTAAGACTTACTTTTAATAGTTATCGTAATTAGCAATTCGTTATGAAAATCGTTTGCTATTTTATCATTTTTAATAAAAATTTTCTATATTTATACAAAAAAAATGGCGAACGCAATTTGCAATTATCAAATGTTAAAATATCTAAGGAAAGTTAACCATAAAAATAAATATTTAACAAAGTGATTATCATTATGGTTTTTTATTTTAGTTTAGTTGGTTATTTGATCTGTACTTTAATGTATTCCCGCACACTTTCCGAATATAATTCAGACGTCTTTTGAACGTTCCACGCTGACCAAAGAAAATTATTTTGGTTCAAAAAAGGTTTAGGACGTAAACTGAAAGTATATTGTACGTTTTTGTACGTGTAGTGTTTGCTGGATTAGCTATTTACTTCCTACTTATGGTTTCTTACATTCTCTCTAATATTGCGGTTCCACTACGGCTTTAAACTGTCATTTGTGTAAAAAATTAATTAGTCAAAGTTGCCGCTCATCTCAATGTAATATTTGTTTATTTTGGACTCATACAAAATGTGACAGGCTTAATGATACTAAGTACAGTTTACTACAATTCAGTCGCTCATTGCGGAATTGATTAAACTGTATTAAAAGTGTCTTTCCATTCACAAATGTACAAGATAATGAATTTAAATTGCTATTTTCTTTTGATATAATTCTTAAAACTGATGATTTACCTCTGTCTACAAACCTTTTCCCGTCTTTTCATTTAAACAAAGTCTCAAATCAAATTAATAATTATGTTTTATCTCGTGTTTTAGATTCTGAAAAAGAAATTTCTTCTTCATTAGAGATATTTTGTAAATATTATGACATAAGCGAATTATGTACACTTAATTTTAATAAAACAAGCGCTCTATCCTTTTTTGATCTAAACATATCATCGTTACAAAAACATTTTGAGGATTTAAACATAATATTGTCATTAATTAATTTTGATTTTACCATTATTGGTATAACTGAAAACAAGGTTTAAAAAAGGAACATCCTCAATTCATCCGATTCTCATTGATACTTACAACATTGAGCAGACACCAACGGAATCCTCTTGTGGCGGTACTTTAATATATTTATCAAAAAAACTAATATACAAACGAAGAAATGATTTAATGATTTATACACCTAATTGTTTAGAATCCACATTTGTTGAAGTCATTTTTCTAAAAGGTCTAATATTATTGTTGGATGCATTTATAAACACTCTTGCATGGATAATAATATTTTTAATAATATCATGTCTGATTTACTTCAAAAAATATCTGCTGAAAATAAATCTATTTTACTTGGTGATTATAATATTAATCTGATGCAATCAAATAATGACATAGCGACATCTGATTTTTTAAACTTATTTTCTTTGTATAATATGGCGAATATTATACAAAGAAATTTATTACTTTTATTACTTTGGCGACTAGAATTACAGATCACTCTGCTACAATTATCAGGCCTTGTGATAAATAAAAACTGCGCGACGCAAAGCACGACGTGATTTTTGACGTCATTAAATTCTTTTTATTTGCTTTTCATATTTATCGACATTACCAATTTACTAAATTAACGCAAAACTATTTACTAATTTACTTAATTAACGCAAAACTAATTAACGCAAAACTATTTACCAATTTACTTAATTAACGCAAAACTACTTTAAACCGTAAATGTAGAAATGTTATTATTAAAAAAATGTTTTGGAATGTTTCGTTTTTTAAAATGTAAAAACATTCTCGACGTTTGACACGTTTTGTCAAAAAACATTAGAACTAAACATTTAAAAATGATTATAAAATATGCTAACATTTGATTCTTTTTTCTCAAATATGTAATTAAAAGTTTTTCAAATATTTATTTTCTCTTTTTAAAAAGTCAGCGATTAATAAACTGGAAATTTTAATTTTGTACGATTTAAAACGTGCAATAGCTAATATTTTTACTAGCGATTTTATATAATATTTTTTTAATTATTTACTTTTATTTATTTTTATGAAGCGGTTGATAAGCACAATCACTTGTATTACTAAAAAACTTTAACGAACATTTTGAATAGATTTTTAATGTTTATAAGGAGTTTTATTTTTAGTAAAATAAAATTAAATAAAATGTTAGAATCTTACAGGTATAAAAGACATATCTCAGCGAAAAAATTATTCTTCAAAACTATTATCAAAAAATATTCGAAAAACTATTGACGTTCTATTTTTCAGCAGCTGTTTTTGAGCACGCTTCGTTGAGTTTTGGTAACTTTTAACAAAAAAGCGATTGTTATTATTTAAATAATTTTTTTCGAGTTACTTTTTACAAAAATTTTAATAGCTGAACTTTTTTATTGAAACAAGTAGAATACGTTTTAATATTAATTCTTTTATTTTTTTTAATTTGCGCTTACCAATTTTTAATATGTTAACTCGAAAATACTCTTGAACACTTTAAATACGTCTTTGAACACTTTAAAAACAGTTAATAAATATTTTTAAATCTATGGAATAATTTTAAAACCTAACAAACCCCCGTTTAATAATTATTTAAAAAAAGTTAAAAATCTAAAACTAAAAGAAAGTATTTTTGTTCAATTTTATTGACAACTTTGCTGTTGCTGAAGAATTTTATTAAAATGTTAGCTTAAAAACATTTAAACTTTTTGTTAATCTGAATTTTTTCTTCTTGTAAATAATGAGCATATTTAACTTTTTTGTAATTCAAACTTTTATATCAACTGCGTGCGGTTTTTAAAATACTTTGTTAAATGTTAAAATAATCAAAAATTAATTCATTAAAACTCTGCTCAAAAATATCTTTAAATATACTCAAACAAAAAATATTTTGCTCGACGCAAATAGCCCTAGTTACACGCAAAATCGCTCTTGGACGACGTAAAATTCACATCGCCCGACGCTTTATCGCAAGGCCTGGTTAATGACTATTTCTGTGAAGATCATTAAAATTAAAACTGCAATAATTTTTAAAACTTATAGTTATTTTTAACAAATCAAATTTTTAACAAGTATTAATTTATACAAGATAAACTGCTAACTCTGTACTTTTAAATATGGTTTTAAAAGTTGAACATCTGTCATATATTTTCCTTTTAAATCATAATCTAATTGCTCAGGCTTATGAAAAGCTACTTATAAAAACTCAACACTTAAAAAGTTTTGTAAGAATAAAGGTAATTCCTGTTTTATTTGAAAGGTAAGTTGATAATTGGTTCGAGTCTTTAAAGTTTAAATTAGTTAAAAGTGACTTCAAATTATTCTGTTTTTATCTTATGCTCTATATCTAATAGCTATTGAAATACCTATTGCATTATTATTCATTTATTTTATTATGTTACAAAAGATCTACCAAGCCTGAAGTTTTACGGGTTGAAATATATAGTATGTATATCATCGGAATAAGGAAAACTAAAGTCAGCAAAAAAAGCTAAATAACTAAACGACTAAACTTATTTAAAACACTTTTGACAAGTTTAGTTACAAGTTACTGTTATGTGTTAATGGACCTTCAACCAAATAACTGTTAATACTTCAGCAAAATGTCATATCGTCAGGCTGTTTGGTTGGAAGAACCAAAATCTTGATATTTAAATGAGTTGTTATTTTAATTTGTGATATTATAATTTTTATTCACAAAATGTTAAATAATTTACTTTTTTAGTTTATTTGTCATTGCTTTGGATAAGATGTTTTGTTATTCCTTTTACGGATTGTTATGAGGATTGCAAAAGTTTTAAATAACAGAAACTGAAGAAGGCATTGATAATCTGCAGATAACAAAAAAGCACAAAAGTACTGAATATACAACTCTTTTAAGGGTTTCATTTTGATTTGTTAATGTTTGTATAAAAGCTAGAAATATATAAACTGAAAATAATAACATATAATTAATCCATAATTTTGCATTATTCTAATCTAAATTAATTTTTTTTTCAATTTCTTCGGAGGTAATATTACTAATTTAATGCAATTACAGTAGAAATGGTTAATTATGGAAAAATTGCACTAAAAATGGAATAAATCGCTTGTTAAAGCAAATAATATTTTATACACACACACACATGTATATATATATATATATATATATATATATATATATATATATATATATATATATATATATATATATATATATATATATATCGCACGCCTTGTTTGTCCACGCATAGAATAAATTTTTCGGACTAACTGACCACGTTTTATTATTATGCGTTTCAAGAATTCGCGCTAAAACAAAGCTAAACGAAAATACCGCAAAAATGTAAGCAATCTTAAAGTAAATAACAGAAATCTGTTTGTGCTTTAAAATTAAAAAATTAATGTATATTATTAAAAAAAAAATTACCTATATTTTATTTATTTATGTTTTTGGGGTGGTAGTTATTTTAGCTTAGTTTTTTAGGGTGGTAGTTATTTTAGCTATGAAAAATCAAATCATTAAGAAAAATCAAATCAAAAGAAAAAGAATAATGTTTAAAGAAAATAAAAGGACTTTTTAATGTAAAATTTGTTTATGAATTTTATCAGTTAGTATTACTTTAAAATTCACGATAAAATTATAAACAATTTTTAAATGTTTCGTAAATACATTTAAATGTTTAAATGTATTGAATAAATTCTTTGAATGTATTGATACGCAAAAAAACGCGAAAACGATTGCTATTTATTAGTAAAATATGTTAATGTTTTTTTTTAATGAAAGAAAATTTTATTGTCAAACGATTGAGTTGCTTATTTTGCAATCATTTATTGACATTGTGAACGAGTGTTAATATATAATAATGTCCCGAAGGAACTGTTTTCGTAACAACGACAACAGAAGCAATGCAATTGTTTTTTTAACTTCTTTCTTAATTACAAAATTATGCAATTGAATAATTTCAACGTAGTAAAAAGCGAACATTGACTCAGTATAATAAGTCGAGAGAAAAATTTTTTCAAATTAAAGTTTTGTTATTTTTAAAATCTCAAATAATATATTCAATAATTAAAACAGCAATTTATTTTCTTGTCTAAGTATTGGGAAAAAAAGTCATCGCCTTTGTATAAACCTTCGTAAAAACTAAATTAAATGAAAAAGTTTAACCAAACTTGTCTACCTTAAATAATGAATCAGTTTTTTAATACATTGTCTGATAAAGTTCGTGAATAAATTATGTATCAAGTCTTTTTATTTTCGTGAAAACTTTATGACTTATCGTCGTCTTTTCCTTGACTTGTATCAAATTTTGTAAATGAAAATAGCAACCCTAAAAAAAAAAAAACAGTATAAAAATTTTGAAAAAAATGTTCAAGACTTTTTTTTTTTTTTGTTACAAGAATTTTTTATTTTTATTTTAATATAAAAAAATTTTTCTTACATCCAATTTCAATTTTATATTTTGTTTAGACGTCGTTTCCTTTTTTTAATATTATTTTTTATTCTCTGTGGATAATTTCCGCTTTCCCACGAAATATTGCCGCGGTCACGTTTTCTGAAAAATTTATTTATCAGAAAAAATAAATGTACATTTATATATACATATATATATATATATATATATATATATATATATATATATATATATATATATATATATATATATATATATATATATATATATATATACATATATATATTATATATATATATATATATATATATATATATATATATATATATATATATATATATATATATATATATATATATATATATATATATATATATATGTATTTATAATATATATTATAAAAATAATATATGTATATATAAACAATAAATGTATATATATATGTATATATATATATATA